CTTTGCAAACCGTTCCGGTTGTCGATTTGAGCTTCCGAAAATCCCAACAATCTTGGGTTCAAATGCAATTAAGTTATTTTAGTTTTATTTTTGTCTAAACCTGAACAAGTTATATAACATATGTATTATTTTGATAACAAGTGTGAGAATTGGCTCATCGATTAATCCTAAAATCTAGGAGATTTAATCTATAAATTTAATACATGACTAAAATAAATGATTTAAAAGTTAATGCTCAAGTTAAGGCATTAGACAAATTAAAAACAAAATTAGCATCAAATTGCATTAAATGAAAATCCAAGCAAACAAATCTTATACAAGTAGTGACCAAAATGGAAGAAAATAAAATAGGATTCCAACATTGAAAATGCGTAACTTTACAAGGATATGCGCCCTAATTATATCAATTTTATAAAATACCACATAAACACTCCCATTAAATGTTAACCACAGGTGACTATATTGAAACTATTTAAATAGTTTAGTAGTCATATTAACGCAAATTTAAAAATAGTAGTAATTTTGCGATCCATCCTTAGTTATGTTGTCATTTATGTAGTTTATGATTTAATCGATAATCAACAAACCTAACACATAATTATTGAACGCTACAATACAATCTTCATTTTAAAATTTTGGATAAATTATATTTTTCTTTTTAAAAATAAAAGTAGCCAATATATGAAAAATATCAATTTTATCTTGAAAGTCCAAAATTAATAAAACAATATAATTTTATAAATTTCTGATTTTGTATTATTTTTATTAAAATTATATGATTAAGCTGTCGAATCAATTAATTGAATAGATCAATTCAATTTAATTTTTAAACCCATTACCAAAGATCAAATATGTTTGATTTTTAATTCGTGATTATTCAATTAATATTATATTAAATATATTAATTAGATTTACATATTAGTTTAATGGAATTACTTTTATTAAATGACTTTTTCTCGAATATACTATCGAATCTCATTACTTAAAAAAGGATGAATTCTAAATAAAATAAGGGATATATTCGGATTGTGTTGAAGGATCGGTAAAGAAAAACGAAAGAATACGATAATTTTTAACGAGGTTCAGGAATGTACTTACGTCCTCGATGTCTAGGCGGCGCTAGAAGTTTTATTCAATGTCTCATAGGTTTAGGTTACATCTTTATTTATAATAAATAAACCCTTGTACATATTTACAAATATAACCCTGTATCGTACCGCAGGGAGCTGTCATCTTTGTCGGTATATTTCTGAATCATACCTAACAGATTGAATAATCCGATATCCGGTCCAAAAATTAGGATATCCGAAAATTCGGGTATCCCGTTTTTTCATATCAGATTCGGATCTCCATTTTAGCTATCCGAAATTTAAGAAATTCGGATCCAATATCCGAATTTGTACACCTCTAAAAGCAATATAATGCAAATTAATCATATTTATATTATTTTAGAGTTAATTGCATCATATATTTCCAAAATATGAGCCTCGTTTTAAATTGATCCTTAAACTTTTAAACATTTCAATTTCATCCCTAAACTATGACTCATTTCAAATTAGTCCTTAATCTTTTGAACATTCCAATTTCATCCTCAAACTATGAATCTCATTCTAAATTGGTACATAAACTTTTAGATCTTCTAATTTCATCCTCAAATTCATCCAAATATGTAATCCATTTCAACCATAGTTTAACCTAAAAATTATTTTTTTCAATAATATAATAATATAACTTGGCCTAATGATTTTATTAACAAGGGATGTGATTAGTATATACATGTAATTAGGATAAAATTGAAATATTAAAAAAAATTAGGGGACTGACTTAGAATGAATATCATAGTTTGGGGATGAAAATGATATGTTCAAAAGTTTGAGAACTAATCTCGAATGATAGTCATAGTTTAAGGATAAAGCTAAAATGTTTAAAAGTTTATGGACCAATTTGAAATAAGGGTCATGAATTGGGGTGCATGATGCAATTAACTCATTATTTTAATATATTTTAAAATATTATTGTATTTATGTATTGGCTTAATTATAAAATAAGTGCACAAACTATATCGCTTTTCACAAATAGGTGCCTAAACTATTTTTTGAATGATCCAACTGCCTAACGTTACAAACATTACCACTTTAGGTGCCCGAACCGTAAGTACAGTTAGTTTTCTCCATTAAGTAGCACGTTCACATTCTGGTAATTTTAAAATTTATTTATTTTAAAAAAAATAAAAATAGTATTATATTTATAGAAAACCTTATTTTTCTCTTAAATTATAAAAAACCCTAAATCTCTAAAAACCCTAGTCATACGTTGTTGTAGTTGTTTCTGTTAGCCGTTGGAATTGCACGGGATCGTGATTTTCAACTAGGTTTGCAGGGTGCAAAAATATTGATTAGCCGTCGATCGATTGCGATTTCATTGGGGTATTGATCGTCGGGAGGGAAGTGAGGTTGGGTGGAGCTTCGTCGAATGGTAAAAGTCGGCGACAGACTTGGATTTAGGGATTGAAATGAAGGTTTTCAAAGTTTTAGGTTGATTTTCAAAAGATTTGTGTTTTTAAATATAATTTTTAAAATTATTAGAATGTGACGCGTGTCACTTAATGAAAAAAATTAAAGTTATTCATGACTTAAATACTTAAAGTAATAACGTTTATAATGTTAAATATCAATATTATATAAAAAAATAATTTAGACAACCATTTGTAAAAAAGATTAAGTAGTTATTTTAGAATTGAGCTTTGTGTATTTAATATTGTCCGAATGGTTAGGGACAACAAGGAGTGCTGAAACGTTAAAGTGGGGAGGAATATGGTCACGTAGACTCAGCTACGGACCCCATCACGTGGGACCCACCACAGAACCCAACTTGTTCGTCATTTGGACAATAATAGCAATAGAAAAAATAGGATACATACCACGCGATTGGGTGGTGCGTGGAGTTAACTCATGCATGAGATTGCGTTTTGCATATGGAAAAATTAAGGGTAAACTACTTATTTGGTCACCCATCTATTTCTTATTTTCTGTTTTGATCATTTAACTATTATTTTTTTTAAAATATACCTAAAGTTACATTTTTATTATATTTTAATCATTCACTGTTTAAAGATTAACAATAATATTAATATGATATTTTTCAAATTATTTTTAATATCGACATAATATTATCTTATAATGACACATGAAAAATAATGCACATGAGTATAATATGATGAGGCATCCAACATGTTGATGAGGCATCCAACATGTTGCTGTGGCATGGGTGGATGCACTAAGCCCCAGTAAGGGTCAAGTGCATCCCATTATTTTGGGAAAATGATTAAGGGGTTGTTTGTTTACTTCAGAATAATTAAGCGCTGAATGATTCAAATGCTAAATGATTCAGAGGCTCTGAATGGTTTGGCTCTGAATGTGACATGCTGTTTGATAACTGACTCTGAATGATTCAGAATGTACTTCTGTGCTGAATCATTCAGCACTGTTTTGCTGAATCAGTCAACACTGAATCATTCAGAAATGCGAAACAAACGCGCTGAATGCTGAACGGTTCAGCATTCAACGCTGAATGATTCCATTAAGAGGCAAACAAACAACCCCTAAATTTAATTTAACATGTTAAGGAAAAAGAATTTTTTTACATAACCATTATTCTTAAGAAAAGAAAATTAAAATTTTGGACATCTATTCTTAAATTTTTGGATCTGACACTATGTGATATAGAATCGTGTCAATTACATAGAGTATATGATAGAGTTCAACGAGCCAGGCGTATTCACATTTTAGTTAGGGTGAATAAGTAGTCATTCTAAAATTTAAATTTTTATATTATTTAAATTTTTTTCATTAATTATGTTATGTCTATATAAAAATTATGTGATTAATATACGCGTTCATCTTTAAAATATTTTTTAATTCACCACAACAACAAACCCATTAATAACCTTAAAAGAAAATCACTCTACATCATTATTTTTTTAGTATTCTATTATGATATTATTTGTCTTATTTTAATTTAACTAAATTCACACATATTTTACAAATAATTTTTTGAATAATATTAGGTGATTACGTGATAATATACATTTGTTTAAACACATATCCTAGCAACACACGTCATAAAAACACAATTGTTTAAACTTAAATCCTCTAAAAATAATAATTTTTACCACTGAAGTTACTCAATAAATTTTATAAATAAATAATCTAAAAATACATCCTTCTTGTCATTAAAACTACTCAAATTTGTAAACTATCAAATTTTATCACTCTATGTCTCCACCTATAGTTATTAATTGATATAATGTTTAAAATATATATTACCTATGTATTTAATTATTTAAAATCTTTTAAAAAACAGTTAAACTATCTTATTTTATTGTGTTAAAAAACTAGTTGTGCATATTATTAGAGACGGATGCAAAAAATTTATGTCAGAGGATACAAACTTAAGAAATTATATTAAAACTTTTACGAAGTGTGAAATTAGATAAATAATAAAAAATATAAAGAAAGATATAAATATAAGAAAAAATTTTAAAAAAAATCTAGTTATCAATCCATCTCTACATATCACATATCTTATATTTGTTATTTATAGAAACCATATTTTTAAAAAAAATGGATCCTTTATATGCATACATGCGTGTCTCGAATACTGGTTAAATATTAAAGATCTCGATGCTTCAGAGAATGCTTATGAGATATTAGGCAAAAATTAAAGATTTACATCTTGAAGAAAATTGAATTAATAAAATTATATTCATAATTAACTTTAAAGAGATTCAATTTGAATTAATTAATTAATAAATCAAATAGTTTTAGTACTAAAAAAACCCTCATTTGAAATAAAAAGTAAAAAGGAAAATACATATAATTTAAAAATTATCATAGTTAGTATAATTTTTATTATTGTATCATCACGATGGTTATACATAAAGACTTAAAAATTTTAGTGATTCTTTTTAAGAATTCAATGATCAAAATGATACAAAAATGATAGTTTAGAGTCGAAATTCTACGACTTCTCTTCATATTATTCTTTATCTTATAGCCATTAGACAGCAGAATGAGGAGCACATGAAGGAAGAGCAGAGGACTCAACATTTCCTTTTTACATTGCAGAGCAAGCATTAGGGTTTTCATCACTGAACATCTGCGGAGGATAAGCGTAAAACTCGGTGGCGTACCTTGGACCGTAATAATACAATTCATTCTTCTTCAGGTCCACCGTCACTTTGGTCTCTTCTCCTCCTCCTCCTCCTCCTGCGGTGGCTGCATTGGCTTCTCCGCCGTCACCACCACCTTTCTTGTCCTTATCGTTGCCGCCTTCGGAATCTTTCTTGTCCTTTTCACCATTCTTCTTGTCGTCCTCGTGGCCATCTTTGGGTTTTTCTTCTTCTTTCTTGGTATCGGGCTCTTGTTTCAGTATCAGCGCGTGCTTCCCTGTTCTTTTGTAAACGTAGTCTACTAGTTTTGGTGGACTGAACACTCCCTTTATTGTCACCTCTGAGCTCTTAAGATCTGGCTCTACTGATTCCACTCCTGCAAAAGAAATATATTCATGAATAAACAAATGAAATAGGCTACAATTCAAAGTTAGAGGAGATAAAAATTATGTCGGACTAAAGATTTTAGGTTTGGGATGTAGATTTAGGAAATTATATAATAAATTTATGAAGTGCGGAATTATAAAATTTTATGTGTGTAAAGTTAAAGTTTAATCAATAGTAGAAAATATAAAGTGTAATAATAAAAAATATCTCTAATGTTCGACTGAATATTAACTAAATATTTACTTTTGACTCTTATTTTTTAAAGCAATTTTGTCTCATAATGTTACATTTTGAGGTAAAAAAACCCCTACGAAATAAATTGTTAGTCAACAAACGGTTAATGTTTCAAAAATAGGGGTACTTTTACCATAAAATAAAATATTGAGATAAAAATGGCTCCATATAATGTAAAAAAATGTATCTAATGTTTGATTAAATAATCACTTTGACTTTTATTCTTTTTTGAATCATTTTAACCCTCAACGTTTCATTTTTTAACAAAAAAGACCTTATATGAATGCAAAATCGTTTGTTAATAAACGATTAACACTCTAAAATAGATGGTTTTTTATCTTAAAATAAAATATTTAGGACTAAAATACGCCAAAAAAGAATAAAGACCAAAGTAATTATTTAAACAAACATTAAGATATTTTTGTCTTAAACTAAATAGTTGGGGGTCAAAATTTAAAAAAGAAGAAGAAGAAGTCAAAATGACTTTTTAATAAATATTAGGTGCTAAATTTTTATATTATACAAAAATACTTTAAAAAAACTTAAATATTGAGAAAGAGGAAGAAATCCCCTTTTGTTGGGATAGAAAAGAGAAATAATCATTTTAACACTTTCATAGGATGACAATCATATAATGATTATTGACAGTCAAATGTTAAAAATATTTGTCTTAAAATGACATGCTGAGACTAATTTATTTTAAAAAGTATAAATTAAAATTATTTAATAAAATAATTTTTTATATGGTACGAAAATAAAGAAAGATATAGAAGTTATGTAAAGATTTAAATTTTGTAAGATGCAATCCCATTGGAACACCACAGTTAATATGGTTTAGTGAAATGAAACCTTTCATTCTTTGGATACGTTTCTTGATCTCTTGAGCACAAGCTTCACAGTGCATGTGAACCTTCAACACCACCACCTGAGGCTGAAACAAAAAAGCCCAAACTTTATGAGTCTGCCGGAGAAACTAAAACTATATATGGGTTTAGTTGAGCAAGGGAAAGAATCAAAGACCTCTTCTTTAATTTCCTCAGGCTGAGGCTTTTCTTTTTCCTCTGGTTTCTTATCCTCCTCCGCCACAGACGGTGGTTTTGGGATGGGTGAGAGAAGCTCAACTTTTCTATGGCTTTTCCTTTGAACTCTCTCGAGAACTTTTAAAGGGTCAGCTTTCTCACCTTTCACCACCACCTTGTTACTCTTGCAATCCGTCATTACATCTTCGACACCTACAAGAAAACAAAAACTACAATCAAATCGAATGAAAAACCAGAATCAAAACATGTTTCGGTCTTGTTGGGACCTTGAAAGCCCTTGAGACAACAACGGACTTTGCGGGCGCAGCCTTCACAATGCATGTAAACTTTCAAGATAATCTCTTGAGGTTGTTGAGCAGGTTCTCCTTTAGATTCATCTCCTTTCTTTGCATCTTCTTCTACCTTTTTCTCCTCCATTTTCTTCTCCTCAGCTGGTCTCTTCTCTTCCTGTGAAACGAAACATGCTATTATAAAAGGGAATGTAAAGGGAAGGGAGTGAAGAATAGATATTTAAGATGAACACCTCCCCCATTAGTTTACAGAATCTGGGTTTCGATTCAAAGTTCAAAGTACAGAGGCTTTGATGTTGATGATGATGATGCAAAGGGAACTTTGCTATCTTTTGCTAGTCTCGAGAGGTTTTGCTTTTTGTTCGTTTATTTTCTCTCTGTAAAGTCAAAAGTTTACCTAACCATGAAATCTTAAACTATATGATTTCCCCAACACCATCCCATCTAGAGAACGCGAGGCCATTTTAATCCCATTTTATACTTCCTATATTGTACCTTAAAATATATGTAGAGTTTACACTAAGAATTCATTCGTGTTGGTGATGAAAAAAGTGTTGTTTTTTTTAATTTTAGAATCGAGCAACAAAATTTATAGAGTATGAGTATGGTCAATCATAAATAGATAATATGAGTGTATATTATATTATAATCACCTCAAACTATTAATTTCTTTTAGAGTAATAGAAGTTAAAATTACAATTAAACGATTTAGACAAATGATATATGTAAATAAATACTATTATCAATGGTGAATAATAATGTCACCAACACTAATATAAAAATGCATATAATAATTATGGCTCAAACTGATTAATGGCTGATGCATGCTTAAATTAGATGGACAAATATTTATTTTGAAATTCAAATTTTCTTCAATTAGTGACATTTTATTGAATGTATCCACCTTGAAATTTTATTTGTGTCCATCAAATTAAAAAGTTTTGTGTGATTAATATATATATGTCCACCCTTAAAAATATTCATAGATCTATCATTACTATGACTCATTGACAAACCAACATTACTACGACTCATTCGTGATATATCTTTGGTGATTATAAACATCTATCAATAAATCGTGAGAGCCTAAAGCAAGAATAAATCATTCTGATAACCAAATGAATACCATTTAAATATGGGAATAATTTTTTAATTCAATTCTGAAAATTAAGCAAATAAATAAGTGGCAGAATCACGTGGAGGTGGAGGGGGGACATAGCCCACCCAGTTTTTATGGTTTAATTGTAATTTAAGTTCTTAAAATTTTTGAAACTGTTAAAATTATGTCCTCACCTCTCTCAAATTTTTATTGTTCAATTATTTTTAAGACAATGTCAGTTTTAAAGTTAACCTTTGTAAGTTAACCTGGGTAATTCAACATTATCAAAAAAAAAAAAAAAATCAAGTCTTGTCCCTAACTTTTCTAATTTAATTACTTTTTAGGACATGACGAATTTGAAATTAATGAAATTAAGCCGACTCTCTATTTTTGTGATTTAATTATCTTTTAGAAAATTGTTAGTTTTAAAAATAAGCGACTTGATTCCTTTCATAATTTCATCATAGTTCTGTCTTTACGAACAAAGAACATATTATAAGAACATATAAAATCATACGCCACTTTCATACGAGAATGAAATGACTAATTAAACAAAAAATGATTAAAATTAAATTGTTTACTAATGAGATAAATTGAAATTAAATTGGATGTCTATATTTGAAACTAGAACGAACCAAACTTAAATAAGATGAACCCAACCCACTTATATCTCTTCTAATAAATCAACAAAGGTTTCAACTTTTGTATATACGATCTGTTAAATCATCAAATGGTGATGATTGGACAAATTTTCTTTTTTACAATGAAATTGGGATCATCTAAGCCACAAGTAGAAACCCATTAACCTAAAAAAATCATGTATAGGTAACTTTAATCTCTGCTTTAAGGTCATAAAGAAGATTTAGATAGGGGAAGTGGGCAAAATAAGAAGTTGATTTAATGCCATTAAAATGGATGGACAAAAGCCATTTGAGCATCCGAAAGGAAGGTGGGGTTTGGACCTTAGTGGCAAACATCAATGGTCAAAATCAAACAATCCCTTTAGTCTAAGAACGCAGCAATTCAATTTGTGGCAATTGGTTACAAGTTTTGAACTTCCCTTGTAGTTTGTGTTTATAATTCGAAGATAATCAAATGCCAAAATAGATTAGAGGACGGATGCACCGAGGGGTATTGAGAGACAATCATATTATATGAAAATCTTAAATTTTCATATAATTTTATTTTTTTTATATTTCATATAATTTAATTTCGAAGTCCTAAAATTCTCATATAGTTTAAGTTAGAACTCTCAACATAAAATCTATAGCACATCCTTGATAGGGACGAGCATTTAACTCAAACTCGATCCAACCCGATCTAGTTGATTTTTTCTTCAAAGTTCAAGTTCGGGTCGAGTTTTTTTTTGAAAGGTTTGAGGTTGGATTGGATCTGTGTGTGTTCAGCTCAAGGTTCAAATCAAATTTTGGGTCTATGAGATCTCTTAAACCAGGATCGAATTGAGTGCGAATAGAAGGATTTAATTTTTTAATCGAATTCGAGTGAAGTAAAAACTCAATATATGACCATCCATAATCCTTGAGTTAGATAAATCACACATTTGAAAATGATAAAATAGGTTAACATAGGATGAAGATAACTTCCAAACGTTATAAATGGTATGGAATGAAAGATGTAGCACATGAATCTTTGAAGAGCAGAAGGAGAATTGCCAAAGTGGCTCAAGTGTCATTCGTTGTATGTGAAAAGTCTTGAACATATAAAGGTAAAGATAGTTGGATTACTCATGCACGTGATGATTTAGGTCCCACTTTCAACATGGGGTAGAATCTTATTTCTTGCGTTTTTGCACAGTAAAATTCTCACCAATGAGATATCCGGAATGTGGGTTTGAAATATGATATTCTCACTCGTACAATGTTTCATTATGGACCCAATTTGTCCTACTTAACTGGCACTCAAGTATAAGAATTTATCATTTATTGAGCTGTTGTAGTAAAAAAAGAAAGTTATTTTTTCAAAGATTGTAAATTTATATAGTCGTGTTTATAAGACGTGTATGTATTGTTAATGATTAAAAAAGATTCTTAATAAATTTTAATTTACAATTACTTTGATTTATTTAAAAAAAAGAGAATCTATTGGAGAATCCAAATACGATGAATTCCAGTCTTACATTGGGTTATAGTACAGTACATAGCACACGTTAAAAGCCTTGGAAGCCATGTGTTAATGGGCTTCCTAAACTCCTCTTGGTAGGGATCAATATTGGGTGGATTTAATTGGTTCGGTTTATATATATAAATTAAATAAAGCATTTTAAAATTATTTTATTATATAAGAAAAAGATAAACATAAGTAATTTTTTGTTTTCATATAATTTTGAATTCATTTAATGGATTGAAAATATTTCTTAAAAATATATATATATGAAGAAATGAGACGGGTGTTCATCTTAAATGATGTGATCCTATTCAAACATCTACTATTGTTAATCATTCTTTCATCTTTATACTTAAGGATGAAAGTGGAGGGAGCTTTTACTTACCTTACAAATCTTTATATACTCTATGTTATACATGCTTATACATGCTTATATTACTTATTTCATTCATGTCATACTTTATCTGGATTGTTATGTCTTGCATATCATGTCTTACCGTGTAATTATCATACTTTACAATATGCATTTGATTGAACTTATGTTCTTATACCTTAGTCCTTATATTATGCATATTAAATGAATTATTATATGTTCCACATCTTTATATTATGCTTATACTTAGTTATGATTCATGTTTCACATCATTTACATATATAGGCTTGCATTGCTTTTTCATACTTATCTAGGCCTACATTATGTTATGTTAGCTAACTTATTGTTTTTCCATGCTTTACATAGGTGAATAGCTAAGAAAAGGATGTTATGGCAGATAATTGCCGTCAACTAGCTAGCTACCTAGTCACCTTCTTTGGCGCCAAAACCAAGTCATGTGCAAGGCACACCCTTGGTCGAACCATCACAAGACTATTCGGCCCCCTCCAACGATCATGTGCATTCCAAGGGTCATGTGCATTCATTTAGGCGCCTAAGGATGAGAAGACACCAGCATTTGGCCAAGAAGCATGCACCTTCATCAAGCCTCTTCCAAACCGAACCAAAATGAATCTATTCGGCCATACGCATTCATCTAAAGGACATGTGCATTCAAGGAAGGGCTAGTCGAATCATCACCATGCCTTTTCGGCCACATACATGCACCAAGAGTCATGAACATTCATCCATTAATTATGTACATTCATAGGGGTTTTTTAGGCTTGCCGAATCACTTTGTAACTATTCGGCCATGCCCTTTGATTTCTTATAAATAGCCAATGTATTGGCTTGACTTTGTAAGGCATCTCATTTTGATCAATATACTTTTATCTCGTGAGAATTTTCTCTCTTCAAGTTCTTTAAGAACTATATCGACTTGTCAAGTACATTGTGTTTGTGACATCACCCCTTTATATTCCATTGATACTTGTGGTGCTTGGTTCTTTATAACCAACTGGTCCAATTCCTTTGTTATCACTCGGACTTTGAATAAATAAGGTGTGGGGTTAAGCTTTCATATAGCTTAGGTTCTACCTTGTTTCATTTTTCATACTATCTTCCTTTGCCTTCATCATCTTCCATTCTTTCTTCATCCATCACCACTTCCATACTTCATAAAAACAACCCTCTAAACTTCATTTCCTTTCTTCTATCTTCTTTGAATTCTAGCCCACCTTAACACCATTACATCAACCTAAATCTTCTTGTTTGAGCCTATTTTATTGCAAGTATACTTGTTGCCATCCTAGATTCTAACAATCAAAGGGAGTCGTCTGCACCAACATCCAAGGCGTGTACCGTCTCCCTACATCATTAAAGTCTCAATTTTATAAAATATTTTTTGAACCACAAGAAATTTGACAAAATAATTGTTGGACTAGGCCGATTTAACGTATAATCCCTTGAATTTAAACTATGAACGCGGATTTAAATAACCACAAAAGATGGTTAATTCCATTTCATTGCAACTCATAACAAATATATCGGTAACCTATCTAGACTTATAAATTGAGAATAAAAGTTTATACTATACGAGCAACATATCTAGATCGTTTATGGTTTAAGAAATTAGCTCACAACACCAAGATTTCTATTTTCTTTTTTTTCACATATCACATCATTTTTTGGATATATGCTAGGCGTAAAGATAAAATCAACATTTATATGAATGGTCATTTTATCTCCTATTTTTTTTCTCAAATATTTTATTTCATAATGTTTCAAGTTCTTTTCTTTTTGGTTGCATTTTAGTCCATAATATTTCGATTTTTAGTAAAAATAAACTCTTTAATTTGGAAAGAAGTGATATTCCCACATGTGTAAACTTGTTGACATGGCACATTTCACATAATTACTTTGGGTGATGTGGCACATGTCTAGTTATAACTTTGATAACATGGCACATGTTATATGTTATATAAGCAATTGAACACATGTGAAAATAACACATCAACAATATGATTTCACCGTTAGTCAATTAACGGTTTTCATTCAAAAGAGTCCGTTTTAACTAAAAATTAAAAAAGAGAATGAGGTTGGAATACTTTAAAAAAAGTAACGGACAAAATAATCATTTATACAAACACAGAGATTATCTTTACGCATATATTATGACAGTAAGTTTGGATCGAGTCACGAGCCAAGAGATTAAAAGTTGCGTGTTTAATAGCAGAGCTTTTCCCTTGTGCTTCTTTGCATGGCCTATTCTGTTAGGACTGGCTAGAGAAACACCAACATCTCTTTAGAGCTTGGCAAAATTCAGCTTGCCTTTGTTTCGTTCCTCCTCTTTTTAAATAGAGTAGTTTATTAAAACAATTAAGCAAAGCCATATCAAACCAAAAAAAAAAAAAAAAAAGTCCTAGCAAAAACTTCTATTCTAAACTCCAATAAAAATGCATTCACAACTGAATCCCAAGCCATAATCAGAGACAGATCAAAAGAGGTGGATGAAAGTAGTCATCCCTTGAAATTTTTAAATTTATTTATATTTTTCATATATTATTATTGATAATTTGTTTTCATTCACCTCTAAAATTTTATAAATTTACCCCTTAATATAAAATTTTACGTTCATCCTTGACCACAACTGCAAAACGTGAACTTATATATGCATAATGAAGAGCACGAAAAAGAGTTTTTTTGCTCATGTTCATAGCTTGCCTATGTTCATAGCTTACGCCCTGACAGTGTTTTTGCTCAATATGACAAACCGTTTAATTAATTATCCCAATTCCTTATATAAAAGTTTATTTAGGGATCTACGATATTTTTTACAATAACTTGGCACGTTTCTACTAAATTTTTTTTTATTCAAACTTTTTATTCTGATATGATTAAATTTAATAAAATAATTATATATTATTAGAAATCATCAACTTGACGTGACGAGTTTTATGAACACTTAAAAAATACGGTAGATCTCAAAATAGACTTTTATTTATCTTATTTTCCAAATAATTTATCCGTTTACCTTATTGGGACAAAATAACCTACGCCTGACAATAGTTATTTCAGCCCATTTCCTTGTTAGTCTAGAATAAACTATACCTTTCCTCCATCGGGCCTCACATCCTTAACAACTATGAGAGCTACATTAAAGGCATACATTTTTGTTACCCTTTATCGTATTATTGTACTCTACTTCCTTTCAATTATTAACTAAAACTTTTATTGAGCGAAAAAAAATCATTACAAAATATATAATTATATTGTACATATAAATTTGTTAATTTTACATAAAAGGATAACATCAACAACAATAACAAGTGGAGAAAACGAAAGGAAGTAAACAATACATAGTAAAAGATGAGGACGACACTAATTTTATTAATTATCAATGTATATGTGAACTCCAATGGCGATGACGAAGATGGTAATGAGACCTAGGTAGATGATGGAGTGGACGAAGATGGAAGCTCCACTGGTTTGCATGTTCCCGAACACGACGACCTTGCCCTTGCCTGGTATCTGAAACAACAAGCCGGGGCTCAGCAAGACGAACAGCACCGTCGCTACTATTACCGGACCCCAATCCGCCATCGGTTCGATTGTGTTTTGCTATTCTGGTTCTTGATAGAATGATTAGAAGCGCAAGGATAATAACGAGAGAATTCTTGGAGGAAAAGAGATGAGAAGAACGTGTGGTGAGAGAGTAAAGGAGATAGGAGGGAAGACGACGATCAAATAATCAACTTTTTTTTGTAGGTCCGTTGGCATTTAACTTTTGTTGGTAAATATACTATTGATTCATTGAAATTAGTGTAGTATGATATAAGAAACCGATAAAACAACTTATAATAAGTTGATCGAGGAGACATTAGATTTTTTAAATAAGGTCAGGGGTTCAAATCATAGCGTTTGCGAATGAAGCAAATTGGGTTGGGAGGGTTGCCGCCATTGCCTCTCCAGTATCCGATTTGGATTAGTCGGTCAGTAGATCAAACATATATTATTTTGTAATCACCTTAGCTTAATTAAATGATTGAGAGTATTTAAAACGTATACTATTTTGTAATCACCTCAATTTAATCAAAAAATAATCCATAAAGATTTGAATAGTCTCTGATATCAATCTAACTATTATAATAACTTGATTTGAAACTTAAAAGATAAAATAAAATTTAATAGAAAATATTTTTGATAATATGCATGTTATATGTTGAAGATACATGACATGTACCAGTAACCAGAAAAGAAAATATAGGAATAGAAAATGAGAATAGGCGGTAGATTAAGAAGTTTGTAAAATATTTCAGGATTACAAATGCCTTTTCACGGTTCACATGCTCTCTTATTTATATTTTTAATCCTTAAATTCCTTAGAACTGGACAAAATCGGTTAAGGCTTGAGCCGTCCTTTTTTCTCTCAAGCTTCTGCGCAATATTCGGTTGTCCTTGGTGGTCGTTTCTTGGTTGCCAACTCCCTATGTGGTAATGCTCTCATTCCCTGCATCGACTAACTCCACCCTTTCATTGACATTACCCCATCCTAAAAGAAGGACCTTGTCCTCAAGGTTCGCAGTAGGTGTGGATGAGAGAAACTCATCCATCATCAACGGCAAAGGTGTAATTTGTTGAAGAGGATGACCCTTGCTTGGCTTGAGTTGAGACACATGAAAAACTGGATCGATGTATGTGGAATCTGATAATTCTAACTTATAAGCCACTCGACCTATACGTTGTAGAATGCGATAAGGGCCAAAGAAACGTGGTCCAAGCTTCTGATGTCTCCTTAGACGTAGTGATAGTTGTCGGTAAGGTTGTAAACACAAAAAAGCTCAACTACCCTCCTCGAGTTCTACTTTGTGTCAATGTTTGTCGGCCTAGTTTTTCATACGGACCTGGGCTTGCACTAAATTGCTTTTTAATACTCGCAACAATGCGTCACGTTCCTGCAAATCATGATCTACTTGAGCATTGTAAGAGCTACCCTCTAAATAGTTGAGAATGGTAGGTGAATCACGCCATACAAATATCGGAAAGGGGTCATTCATGCTTATGTCTGATATGCTCTATTATACCAATATTATGCCCAAGCTAAGTATTGCTCCCACTTGCTCGGATCATCTGCTTCCATACAACGAAGATACATCTCGAGACATCGATTCAAAGCTTCAGTTTGCCCATCAGTCTGTGGATGGTAGGCTGAACTGAAACATAATTCAGTCCCTTGTAGTTGGGTTATCTCAGTCCACAGTTCACTAACAAAAATCCCTTGGACCATAATCTTGGCTATATATTTATTATCAAAATGCTTCGAAAGTGCAAAAAAATTACTGTACTTTGTGAGTCGATCGACCACAACCAATAATGTCTCTTTCCCATTAGATTTCAGTAAGCCTCTAATAAAATCTAACGAGATGTCTTCACATACCCTATCAGGAATCAGAAGTGGTTGAAGAAGTCTTGCTGGGGCCAAGCTAACACTTTTCATTCGTTGGCAAACCTTGCATTCAATGACAAATTGTCGAACCTCTTTTCGCATACCTTTCCAATAAAAATTCGCAGCTGATCGTTGAAAAGTGCGTGTAATACCAACATGTCCTCCCATCAACAAGCTATAAAATTCTCATAACAATAGTGATTTTAGTGCAGCTTCTTAAGGTACCACAATTTTCCCTCGCCTTAACAGTAACCCATCTTGCTCTTTATACCCAACATAATTAATTTGTCCTTCATGAATACTTGCTCGAATATGTTGAATCATAACATCCATTCTACTTGCTGCCCGAATATCATCAAAAATACCAAACATTGGTCGAGAAAAAGCCATGAGAGTAACTGCATATTCTCTGGATAGCACATTAGCAACATTGTTGAGTTTCCAGGTTGATAATAGATGTCGAAATCATACCAAATAAATTTTGATAACAATCGTTGTTGTTCCGAGGTTTGAATAGTTTGTTGATTTAATTCACGTAGTGAGCGCTGATCAGTGACAATGACAAATTTACGACCCACCAAATATTGATGCCACTTCCCCATTGCTCGAGTAATGGCGAACATTTCTCGATTGTAAGTAGAAGCACTTTGCATATGTGGACTAAGCTTTTGACTAAAATAGGCTAACGGCTTTCCCTCATGAGTTAGAACTGCTCCTATACCTGTCCCTGAAGCATCAATTTCGACCTGGAATTCTTTGTCAAAATGCGAAAGCCCAAGGATTAGAGCAGAACAAAGGCATGGTTTCAAATGGTTCATAGCGCTTTGAGCCACCTCAGTCCATTCAAATGATTGGCCTTTACGAAGTAAATCCGAGATGGGGGCCATTATAGTAGCAAATCCCTTAATAAACTTGTGATAGTAAGATGCAATACCGAGAAATCCCTGCACTTCCTTGACCATGGTAGGTACCGACCAAGCTCGTATTGCCTCAACCTTAGCGGAATCCACTGCCAATCCTTCCCTTAAAACTATATGTCCAAAATATTCAACAGTGGTCTGTCCGAATGTACACTTACTACATTTTGTGACAAAACCATTTTCTTGCAACCTTTGTAGCACCTATCAACATGGTTCAAATGTTCCTGCCAATTTTGACTGTACACAAGAATGTCATCAAAAAAAAAAAATTAAAATAAATTTACATAGAAATGGTCGGAAGAGATCAATCATTGTTGCCTGAAAAGTGGATGTCGCGTTGGTTAAACCAAACGGCATGACGAGAAACTTATAATGTCCTTCATGAGTTCGAAGAGCTGTTTTTTGAACATCTTCTGCTTTAACTCAAATTTGATGATAGCCAGAAAGTAAATCCAGTTTTGAAAAGAATTGTAAATCACCCAACTCATCAAAGAGTTCATTGGTAGTGGGAATTGGGAATTTATCTTTAATGGTGACTGCTTTTAAAGCACGGTAGTCAACGCAGAACCGCCACATACCATCTTTCTTCTTTACCAACAACACTGGAGAAGAAAATGGGCTATTGCTCTTACGAATCAACTAGTGTTCAAGCATGTGTCAGACTTGTTGTTCGACTTCATCTTTCTAAAAATAGGAATATCGGTAGGTCGCACATTCACTGGTTTTCTCATAGGTTATAAATTAATTGCATGGTCATTTTCTCGAATAGGAGGTAGACCGTGAGGAGCCATAAAAACCATATCAAATTCAGCCAATAGTTTTGTCATGTCCTCTGGTTTAACTTTGATTTTCGTCTTTAGTCCTATATCCATTTGCAAACAATAATAGGCAACCACGACCTTAGTGTCCTTCAAATGACGTAAGGATTGTAATTGGATCAGTTGGGGAGCCAACCCCGTTTCCCCTTGCCAATAATGCTCTTTGTCCCCTTGGTGGAATTGAAACCGAAGTGTAGAAAAATCCATAGTCACCGGTCCGAGAATAGCCATCCAGGCAACTCCTAACACCATTTTAATAAATTCTAACGGTAACACATAGAAATCAGTAATCAATTCAGTACCTTGAACTCACAATTTAAGATCGTGCACACAACCCTTGTTTTGTAATTTTTCACCATTTCCCACAAGGACCCTGAAGTTTGGTGCTGCTGTCACCTTCAAACCCAAATGCTTTACAACACAGGACTGGATAAAGTTGTGTGTACTGCCACCATCAATCAAAATCCGAATCAGTCGGACTCTAATCTCCCCCATCACACGTATGGTATTAGGAGTGAAATAACATGCAAGAGGGTTAAAGGAAACCAAAGATTGTTCACGTATAATATTGTCAGAGTCCGCTAATTCATCGTTGTTATTTGCTCATGTACCTATTGTTGTTTCTTGGTGTTCATACTCATGTTCATCATCCAGCAAGAATAACTGAGGGTCTTTGCATTTATGACCCGTAACAAATTTAACATCACAGTAATAACACAACCCTTTTTCGCGTCAAGCTTGAGCTTCAGCTGCCGAAATTCCGTGAGATTGCATAAGATTATGAGAGGTCATGCGATTTCCTGATTGAGGTAATCGATCAAGATGTGCTTTAGACCTAGAAGGAAACGAGGTGTGTGTCGGTAGTAAGGGCGACAATTTTGGACCAGGTACCCGACCTAATGATTTCCGTGTCTCAAGAAATTTGGCTTCATGAAATTGGGCCAGCGCAATTACTTCACTCATAGAAGTGGATCGATAACCCAACACCTCATGCTTAATATCTGAACGAAGCACATGCACAAAGCATTGTGTCATAAATTCATCAGAAAGGTTATTTGTACGGAAGATAAGGTCTTCACATCGGGTTTGATATTCGTCCACAGTCGTTGTTTGGAAAAGCTTAGAAAGTTGTCCTTCTGGTGATTCGATTTCCATCACCATGAACCGTCGTCGAATTACTCTAACCAAATGTTTCCAACCTTCCAGTTGTCACTGTCATTGCATCCAACGAAACCAATTCTTGGCTATGTCTTCCATTTTGAAAGATGCCATGATTACGCGATGGTGGTCCTCAGTGCCATAAAACTCGAAGAAATCATTCGCCGATGCAAGCCACTCCTCTAGGTCCTTACCATTAAATATAGGTAACTCCACCTGAACTGGTTTGGGTGAGAAAGGAAATACGTCATCAGATTCCACTTTCATTTTTGCATTGCCTCTAGTAACCACGATTTCTCCTGAACCATCACCATAGCAAGAAGTGGTTGTCGGAGCTCCCAACTGTGCAGAAAGTACTATTAATTGGCGAACCAAATCTTGGAGGGTTCGTTGTGTGGTCGCATTCCATTTCTTCTAATCCTCCACCTTAGATTAGAGAGAAACCAAAAGTTGGTCGTGGCGAGCACTCGCTTCCTGCAAAGCTTTGATAGATTCCGTGTTACTCACCATATTGTTTAAGCTCAATGAAAGCACCAAAATGTCATATACCAGTAACCAGAAAACAAAATATAGGAATAGAAAAATGAGAATCAGAAGTAGATTAAGAAGTTTGTAAAATATTTTAGGATTACATATGCCTTTTCACGGTTCACATGCTCTCTTATTTATATTTTTAATCCTTAGATTCCTTAGAACCGGAGAAAATGACTTAAGGCTTGGGGCATCATTTTTTCTCTCAAGCTTCTGCGCAATATTCGATTGTCCTTGGTGGTCATTTCTTGGTTGCCAACTCTTTCTGTGGTAATGCTCTCATTCCCTTCATCATCTAACTCCACCCTTTCCTTGACAGTACATGTTAGCACAAATATAAATATAAATTAATAGATGACACCAAACACATATATGTATTTTATCTACAATCATTAAATGAGAATGAGTTTAAAAGACTATATATAAACACTTTGAAAGGTTTATATGAAATTAATATGTGACATACCTTCTTTACATTACCAATATTTTTCACTAATGTAAAAAATTAAAATATTTTGAGAAAAGAACAACAACTAAATTAACATTAAATATTAATATTTGTTAGATTTGAATTAATATGATTACTCTTTTAACAAATAAATGAATTCTGAACTTATTAAAATATGACTTAACTCAATTTTTAGTGAATATATTCTCATTTTCTACTGTTAATCTCAGCCTTTAATTTATCTCTAGTGGTCCTAAAAGGTGTAAAACCAAAAGAGTTTACACAATGTAATTGGATCCTACCCTTTTATAAAATTATATCATTAAATAAATAATATTAATCTTAGTTATAATTTAATATATATATATAATAATTTTGTTAAAAGCATAAGATGCTCTTAAATTTGTTTGGTGGTTGGATGTTTGGTTTTCCACTTTTCCTTCCTCAAGGTCTTTGTTTGAACATCTTATAGAGTATTTAATTTTTTTTCTACAAATTTCTGTAATAAAATAACGTTGGTTTGATCACGTGGATATAAATTAAAACTTGATGTTGTAAATAAAATGAACTAAATTGAGATTATGGTTATGATGAGCTTTGTAGTATGAAATACGAATAGGAGGAAATTGGACGAATTTCAGTTGAAAGGATCCCCACGTGGAACAATCTCGTTTCTTTCCCTTCCCTCCCTTTCTCATTTTTAACGAGTTTTTCATCCATTTCTTCATTTCTCTCTCTTTTTTTTCGATCGGTGCAGTTTCAGGGAAAACTCGAAAACCTTCCCCGCGCTTTTTTTTTTTTTGAATCCGTGACTCCTCAGTTTCTCCATTTTCTATTTGTTTCATGAATCGCTTGTTTATGGCGCTTCAACTCTTCTCAACTCGTTTAATCAATGAATCTGAGCTGAAATTATTGGCGGTTTGATTGGAATTGAAATCAAATAAGTCTATAATTCTGGTTAGTTGTTGATTAATTTATTAGCATCTTTTTTTATTCGTTTTTACAATTCGTTTGAGAAAATTGGAAACTTCAATGCGTGTAGCAGCTATTGCAGATGGAGGCGGAATTTTCCAAAGTCAAGCGTGTCATCACCTAGGAGAAAAGCTTTGGAGAATGGAGGTTCCAACTCTATTCGGAAACTCTTACCATCTTCTCGTCCTGCTCCCATGTAAGTTTTTCATTTCAAGTCTTACCTTTCTTTTATTCAGCGTTACAATATATATATATATATATTTGTTTAGAGAAAATAACCTACCGAAAATGCCTTGTAATATATTCGGCCACTGAGGTTATTTTCTCATTTGTTTATCTTGTAATCTATAATGTGTAAAAGGCAAAATTTAGTTTGGTGGAGTTCCGTTCAGAAAATGAATAATTGGATTTGGATTTGAATGGGTTGATCAAGGCAGTTGGTAATAATTTGTGAAAATTCATGTTCTACATGCGTACATCTGTGAAATTAATAATTTCTCTGATGAGAATATCTCAAACACCAATGGTTGGAACGCTGCTACTTATTCCAAGCCTGTTCCTCGCAAGTTAGAAATGACACCTTTTGGACAACCTGCAATTCCTGTAAGATGCATTTCGAGTACTCTAGGGTTTACATCAACGTAAATCTTCCTTGTATCAACTGCCACACACACTTTTTCGCTGTTGAGACACCAGCCCCTGCTATAAATGCCAATAGTAAGTATACTCCATTTCCCAACTTCATGCAGCAACAAAAGTTTCGCCAGGCTCGTAATGCAGACAATATTTTCTGGTATATCTACAAAAATTTCTCAAAAAGACGGGTTCCCTAGATCGGGAAGTAACATAAATGGGTCTTCTGTTGGGAAATAAACGAGTAACAAGTAATTTTCCTATAGCCAGATTAGTGAGAATACGAAATAAAAGCGGAAAAATAATACCCGAAAAATTGATAACGGAGTTCAGCCAATTGTACTTACGTCTCCGGACTGCTGCAGATCTTTTACTAAAGAGAAAAAAATTACAGGTGTTTACAAAACACACTTGAGAGAGAACTGAAATATTTTGGGATGATTTTGAAGCTAAATGGGCTAGGGTATTTATAGTTGAAACTTAGGGACTAATCTTGTAATTAACCTAAAATACAATGGCTAAATGTATGATTTAACCATTTCCAAATATCAACATTTTCTGCACCCAATTTTGACAATTGCACCGAATGGATCTTCTTACAAATTGCCCACCGAAAGAATGCATTTAATCATCAACAATTTCAACAATTGTTGGCTGAATTTATTTGTGCATTAGGCGGTACCCCCTTGACTTTACAATCTCCCACTTGAAGACTGATTTTAATATGTCTTCACACCTCGATCAATGCAGCAGTATTTCTGGTCTTGTTACTCTAGCATGCCAACTGAAGCTGAACACAACTTCAGTTTGTCCGTGGTCACCGTCTTTGTCAACGTGTATGCTGGATTTTGAGCTCCACTAATCTTTTCAAGCTTTAAAATCCCATCTTCCAGAAGAGACTGGATAAAATGATATCTCAATTGTATGTGCTTCGTCATGGAATGAAAAGACAGATTCTTTGCTAGATGAATAGCACTTTGACTGTCGCAATACAATATATTTGTTTTCTTGTTTCTTGCCTAACTCTTCCAAAAAACTTTGGAGCCAAACCATCTCCTTGCTGGCTTCCGTAACAATGACATATTCTGCTTCAGTTGTAGAGAGAGCAACTATCTTCTGTAGTTGAGAAACCCAACTCACTGCGGTTCCTCCTAGAGTATAGACATACCCTGTAGTACTCCTTCTGATGTCAATATTTTCGGCTAAGTCAGCATCTACATAGCCTGTCAGTATCGTATCTCCACCTTTGAAACAAAGTGCTTTGTTTGTAGTACCCCGCAGATATCTGAGGATCCATTTGACTGCTTCCCAGTGTACCTTGCCCGAATTATTCATGTATCTGCTAACAACTCCCACTGTATGAGAAATATCTGGTCTAGTACAAACCATGGCATACATCAGACTTCCAATTGCTGAGGCATACGGCACCTTCACCATGTGTGCACGTTCTTCCTCCGTCTTTGGTGACTGTTCTTTGGAGAGTCTGAAATGAACACCTAAAGGTGTACTTACTGGTTTAGCATCTTGCATGTTGAACCTGGAGAGTACTTTGTTGATGTACTCAGCCTGTGATAACATCAAAGTCCCCGACTTTGTGTCTCTTTTGATCCTCATCCCAAGAATCTGCTTTGCAGCGCCCAGATCCTTTATAGCAAACTGCTTTGACAATTTTTGATTCAAGTTTATGATCTCTTGCATGTTTGAGCCTGCAACGAGCATGTCATCAACGTACAACAATAAAATAATGAAGCTGTTGTCGAACCTCTTGATGTAGCAACAATGATCTGCTTGGCATATGGTAAAACCACTGCTACCCATAAAACTATCAAACTTTTTGTACCACTGTCTAGGAGCTTGTTTTAGACCATACAAGCTCTTCTTCAACCTGCATACCAGGTTTTTCTTGCATGCCTTTATGAAGCCTTCTGGCTGCCTCATATAGATTTCTTCCTCCAAATCACCATGAAGGAAAGCTGTCTTTACATCTAACTGCTCAAGATGTAAATTCTCCGCAGCTATAATTTTCAACACCAGTCTGATTGTAGACAATTTTACGATTGGAGAGAAAATTTCATTGTAGTCAATACCTTCTTTTTGCTGAAAACCTTTGACTACCAATCTTGCTTTGTAGCGTTTGCTCCCATCGTGCTCTTTTTTGATCCTGTAAATCCACTTGTTATGGAGCGCTTTCTTGCCTGGTGGTAATTCAGATAATTCCCACGTATGATTTGACATAAGTGAGTCCATCTCATCTTTCATGGAGGACTCCCACTTGACTAAATCCTCCACCTGCATTGCTTCATCATAGCACTCTGGTTCACCATTGTCAGTCAGCAACAAGTAGTGCAAAGAAGGCGAATACCGTTGGGTTGGTTTAGGAATTATGGAGGAGCGTCTCAGTTCTGGTGTGCCTGGTTCTTCCTCTTGAACTGCTTCAGGACTGATCTGAACATCATTTCCAGAAATCTCCTCGAACTCAGCAAATTCCTTTGTTTCAGCTTCGGTATTACTTGATTCTGCGGTTGGCCTATCTTTGTACATCACATTTTCATTGAAAATGACGTCTCTGCTTCTAATGATCTTCCGATTTTCGTAGTCCCAAAACCTGTAACCAAACTCATCACCACCGTAACCAACAAATACGCATTTGTTGGACTTGGCATCAAGTTTACTTCTTTCAGCAGAGTTTATGTGTACATAAGAAATACAACCAAACACTCTTAAGTGTGAAAGGTTTATTTCTTTCTTGCTCCAAGCTTTCTCTGGTATTCCGCCATCCAAAGGAACTGAGGGCCCACGGTTGATCAGGTAAGCTGTAGTGTTGATAGCTTCAGCCCATAGAAATTTGGGCAATCCGGCATGTATCCTCATGCTTCTGGCACGTTCATTCAGAGTTCTGTTCATGCGCTCTGCTACGCCATTCTGCTGCGGTGTTATGGGAACTGTTGTCTCCATCTTGATCTCATTGTTTGCGTATAAATCTCTGAATCTACTGTCTATGTACTCTCCTCCATTGTCAGACCTCAACCGCTTAACTTTCAAACCAGTCTCATTTTCCACCATGGCCTTCCATTTTCTGAAGGTATCGAAGACTTCTGATTTCTTCTTCAGAAAATAAACCCACACCTTCTTTGTTGAATCATCGATGAAGGTGACATAATATAGTGAGCCTACAAGAGATGAAACTGGGGATGGTCCCCATACATCAGTATGAACCAATTCTAACCTTTCTGCCTTGGGTGTCTTGCCAATCTTTGCAAAACTGACTTTCTTTTGTTTGCCAAAGATGTAATCCTCGCATAGTCCGACATCTACATTCTTTAGATCCGGCAGCTTCCCTTTTGACAGAAGTATCTTCATTCCTTTCTCGCTCATATGGCCAAGCCTTTGGTGCCATAGGTTTGATTTTCCATTAGCATCTGCTACTGCAATGATATTCTCTAAATTTGAGGTTACATAGAGAGTACCGATCTTCTTACCACGAGCAATGATGAGTGCTCTTTTGGTAATCTTCCATTCACAACCTGAAAAGGTTGTACTGTATCCTTCTCCATCAAGTTGTCCTACAAAAATCAAATTTCTTTTGAGACCAAGAATATGTCTCACTCCTGTCAGCTTCCAGGTGGTCTGGTTTGGCAACTTTAGTCGGATGTCTCATTTTCCGACGATCTTCAAGGTTTCATCATCAGCAAGATGAACCTTCCCAAAATCACCACTGACATAGTTCTCCATGATTTCTTGGCATGGCGTAGAGTGGAAAGATGCCCCTGAATCCAAAATCCATTATTAAATCGGACTGTTGACGCTTAAAATCATGGCATCACCTGTCTCCTCCGTCATGTTGGCAGATTCCTGTGCGCCGGTATTTTTCTTCGGTGCTCGATAATCTCTTTTGAAGTGGCCCTTCTTACCGCAATTATAACAGATAAAATCTTTATTTCCTGTTCTTGATTTTCCCCTTCTGGATTTCGATCTGCCACGATTTGAATTTCTTTCTGAAGTTCTCCCTCTGGACTCGTGTGCAAGGCTGAGGAGGTTGATGCTTCACCCGATTCTCTCCGTCGAATTTCTTCGCTCAGTACCAGATCCCGAAAATCGTCGAATTTTAATTTGTTGTTTCCCAACGAACTGCTGACTGCTGTAACAGTAGCATTCCAACTGTCTGGTAAAGATGATAAGAGAATTAAAGCTCGAACTTCATCATCAAATTCAATTTCCACTGAACTCAACTGGGTTGTGATTGTGTTGAGTTCATTTAGGTGTTGTGCCACCGATGCCCCTTCCGTCATCCGCAAATTGAATAATCGCCTCATCAAATGAACTTTGTTTGAGGCCGATGGCTTCTCATACATACTGGAGAGAGCCGTTATAAGACCCGCCGTGGTCTTTTCCTTTGCTATGTTGAAAGCAACATTGCGGGATAACGTCAGTCGGATAACTCCGAGGGCTTGTCTGTCGAGAAGAGCTCAGTCTTCATTCTTCATGCCCTCTGGTTGTTTTCCTGAGAGGGGTTGATATAGATTTTTCTGGTATAGAAAATCTTCAATTTGCATCTTTCAAAATCCAAAGTCCGCACCATCGAACTTTTCAATTTTCACATTCCCTTCGTCTGCAGCCATCGCTCCCACTCGAATATGGCTTCGTTTGGATCGTTTCTGACAATTTTTGCGAACCGCCGTGTATTAGAACACCTCCGTCGACAAACTCGTATCGCCGATCGAATTTCACTATTCACGAAATTCACTATTCACGTGAATAGTAACCCGAATAGTAACCTCGCAAAAAATTGATAAAATTCACAACCAAAAGCTCTGATACCAGTTGTTGGGAAATAAACGAGTAATAAGTAATTTTCCTATAGCCAGATTAGTGAGAATACGAAATAAAAACGGAAAAATAATATCTGAAAAATTGATAACGGAGTTCAGCCAATTGTGCTTACGTCTCCGGACTGCTGCAGATCTTTTACTAAAGAGAAAAAATTATAGGTGTTTACAAAACAAACTTGAGAGAGAACTGAAAGATTTTGGGATGATTTTGAATCTAAATTGACTAGGGTATTTATAATTGAAACTTAGGGACTAATCTTGTAATTACCCTAAAATACAATGGTTAAATATATGATTTAACCATTTCCAAAAATCAACATTTTCTGCACCCAATTTTGACAATTGCACCGAATGAATCTTCTTACAAATTGCCCACCGAAAGAATGCATTTAATCATCAACAATTTCAACAATTGTTGGCTGAATTTGTTTGTGCATTAGGCGGTGCCCCCTTGACTTTACATCTTCACCAGCTTCTTTCACCAATGAAGCTACCGAGATGAAACCGAGATGGTAGATCACTTGGCCATGGGAAATGAAGGGGTTACCGTTTCTGGTTTTCAAAAGAGTGGTTTCAAAAATACTGCAGGAATGTCAAGAACTAATAGCATAAAGCAGCCTTCACAGCTGGGAATACGGAATATTCTGATGGAATTGGCTAAGAAAGAAATCAAAAAGAAACTAAATTCACGGAAACCGGCTTCTCTATCAGCTGGTTCAGATAAACCAAAGGCTTTTGACGAGGGGATAAATGATAAGGATGAAGGAAACGGAAAATATGCCCTAAATATGAAACGTGATGCACGCGAATCCATGAAGTGTGTCGGTATCAAGTCTAGTATTGAGCCTAAAAGGTCTTATACTGATTATTCTCATGTCAATCTTGCTACAAAGGAACTTGATCCAATGACCATGAATGTTCCAGATCCAGATTTTCACGATTTTGATCAGGATCGTACTGAAAAGTCATTCGGTGAGAACCAGGTTTGGGCTGCTTATGATGATGATGACCGGATGCCTCGTTATTATGCGGTGATTCATGGTGTGATATCATTAAAACCCTTAAAAATACGGACGAGTTGGCTTAATTCTGAAAGCAACACGGAACTGGCACCGCTAAACTGGATTGATTCAGACTTTTACAAAACTAGTGAGGATTTCTGAATAGGCAAATATGAAGTTAATACTCTCTCAATTTGTTCTCGCACAGGTGAAGTGGTCAAAAGGATGGAAAGGAGCAATTCAAATATATCCGAGGAAGGGAGATGTTTGGTCTCTCTATAGCAAATGGCCCCCTGATTGGAATGAGCTTACACCTGATGAAGTGATACGCAGCTATGACATGGTTGAAGTGCTCGAAGATTACAATGAGCAAAACGGTGTTGCTGTTGCTCCGCTTGTTAAGATCCCCGGGTTCAAGACCGTGTTTCGACAGCATTGTGAACAGAGTAAAACGTGGATGATTCCAAGAGAAGAGTTGTTTCCCTTTTCTTACCAGGTCCCTTCTTGTTTGCTCACAGGTCAAGAAGGTCTGAATGCTCCTAAGGTTTGCTTGGAGCTTGATCCCGCAGCTATACCATTGGACCTTCTTCAGGTATTAACAGAAGCTCAAGCGAAAGAAATGGAGGTGATCACCGAAACAGTTCAGGAAATGAAACCAAATATTCGGGTAGAATCTGCCGAACAAGCTGTTATCAAAGAAGAGGCTAAGGAAGAAAATGAAAATAAGAAACCCCCGATGCATGTTTACGGTGGACGGCAACAAAGAAAACGAGAAACATAGGAAAAAGATTTGATGAATAGAAGGATTTACAATTTTTTTTCTCCAGTAGGAAAGAATCCTTACATTTGGACGACAACGAAGAAACAAACCGGCTAATAAGGATTTTTTTAAAGTGGAATTGAATGGTGTTGCAGTTTCCTACAGTGAAAGACCAAGAATTCACAATGTTCATAGTTGTTTCTATATTCTGTCATCCGTTGAAACTAGGAAATTCAAGAATCTGCAGATGGCTGGAGACTAGAGATCTCACTTCGAAAACCGAGTTCGAGTCAGGTATATATGTGAACCTGAACAATGTCTAAAGATCAGAACAACTGTTCTTTCCTCATCTTCTTTTATTCATATTTTTAAAAACTTTTTGGGGTAAAATGTACCCTTTGAAAGGGCTTATTGACTTATTGTTTTCAGCACCCAAGGAGCTGCCTCTCATTGTTAGAACCATAATTTTCCTTCAAATTGCGCGTTAACAACTTGGAAAATGTATAAAACTTCGCCTGATTCTGTCATGTTGTTTTTGTTACAATGCCTTTGCCTTTCATTGTCCATTAAAAATAATACCTTTGACCAACAACCAGCTGATCTAGTGGGATGAGACATTAAATTCCTTAAACAAAATTAGGGGTTCAAATTTTGGTGATTGCGAATGGAGCAAACTAGGTTGGAAGGACCACCATTGCCTCTGCAGTACCTGATCCGGATTAGTCGATCAATAGATCGGATACCGGTGATTATAAAAAAAATAATTCCCTTTCCTTTTAAATAGTTTCTAGTAATTTCATGGTTGGAAACAAGCATTCATTTAGGTTGGATCTTGGATATGGATATTTTTTTTATCTGTTAAAGCTTTCGAGTCAGGATCAATCGGATCAAATGGGTTCGGTAAGAATAAAATTCAAGTCATGGTCCAATTCAACTCGAATAGGTATATGACGAATTTATAATAAAAAAAATTAGTACGTATACATATATCATTTTGTTTGAATGAGGAATCTTAAAATTTTAAAGATCATTCTTGATATATTGAAAATTTAGTCCTTCTATTTGTATTTTCACAAAATCAATCCTTTTACTTTTTTGGAAAAACATGAACATATTTATAGCAGACAAATATTTGTATTCTGAAATTGGAATAACAGACTTATCTTTTATTTTCATATGGTTTTGTATGGGATTTTCTTTTCGGCATGCATTTGAAAAATCAATTTGTCATTAGTTAATGTATTATGTAAAAGTTATGAATTTAACTTTTGTACATTCTAATTTGATCAATTTTTATCCATATAATTTTTTGAATTTTAATATTATTTAAATAATATAAAAGCAATATAATTAAATTATAATGATTTAATATGATTTTTTAGAGAATACGATCTAAATTTACAACTTACATGTAATATAAAATGGATAAAGTACACAAATGGTCCCCGGTTACAAGATATAACTTTGTTTATTCTCTTAACTATTCAAAGTTACAAAATAGTCCCCTCGCTATAAGGCATACTTTATTGAGTCCTTTAACCATTAAAAATTACAAAATGGTCACCCTACTATTCATATATTTCAAACTCTTCCTTTTCGTTAAAAAATTAACGACCGTTTGCATTGAATGTTAACATTCATTCAACATTTCAACTGAAATATGATAAAATTTGATCCAAAACAGTTTGAGTTGTACAAATATTTGAAATTATGAGATCATATTTTATCATATCTCGGTCAACCTCAAACAATCGTCAATTTTTTAACAGAAATGGACGAGTTCGAAACATATAAATAATCATGTGATCATTTTGTAACTTTTAACAGTCAAAAGACTCAACAAAATAATATCATGTAATTAGGGGACCATTTTGAAACTTTTAATAATCAGAAGACTCAGTAAATTGACCTACAGTCGAGGGACCATTTGTGTACTTTACCCTATAAAAAGTTATGTCCGACACATATCAGAACATGGATTTGCACATGACTCAAAATTTAAAACATTGGAGGATATTTCGTTTAAATATACGGACTCGGATAAAAAAAAAAAAAGTGAACATATTCATAGCAATATCGAAATATTTATGATTCCACTTTAGGACGTTACAGATAGCATGTTTGCTCCGGCGAACCAAGGTCGCCAGGTCTTCGGGGCCTTGAGAGACTGACTCTCGATACAACCCCCAATCATGACCGGACCTTCCGTAACAAGGCTCACGATATACCGGAAACCTAACAATTTTGCATACAATATGCAACTGTACCAGATAAGTAAAATAACAAGGATTGAAAGTGATTAAGTAACAAACAAGAAGGACCTCCACCAAACAAGCTGAAGACAAATAAAATACAGAGATGACCAACCAACTAAACAATGCACTAAATGAGCCTATGGTGGAATCAATTGATATATAGGGATGGTAGTCTTAAATATTGGGATAAAGTATGCCAGAGGTCCCCAGACTATGCTCAAATGATCGTTTGGGTCACTAAACTTTCAAAAGTTACAAAGCTATCATTAAATTTTTGGATAGTTACAAAATAATCATTAAATTTCTTGAACTATTACAAAACAATCATTAAATTTTATCGAAATGTTACAGATTGTTATAACGACAAAGTGACCATTACAAAACAATCATTAAATTTTATCGAAATGTTACAAATTATTATAACGACAGAGTGGCCATTTTGTAACAATTCAATAAATTTAAAGACCATTTTGTAAGTTTAAAAACGATCATTTGAACATGATATGGGAATAAGACAACTGATAATAAAGGAAAAGTTAACCCTTGAAACAAAAGCAAAGACCATTTCTTCTTCTTCACTCAAAATGATATGAAGATTGATAACATGATAACAACCCGATGCAATCAAAAACATATAATTACCTTGGGAGGAGGAGGAGGATATGATGGTAGTTGCTTGGAAAGGAACCACAGTCTCGTGCCCTTCCAATCATTTCGTCAGTTTAGTTTTCTTGTACTGCAGCCTCAAGCACCAGCCTGAAATTAGACGGAGCTGCTAGAAAGATGAAGTTTCCGGTAAAGAAACTACTCCCGGTGCTTGTTTTCATCTTTTCTATTCTCAGACTTCTTAAAATTGCAATTACTACAACTTCACATTCTTTATCTCGACCTGCTACTTTGCCATTGTCTGGTCAACAGGAGTGCTCATCACCTTCTGAATGCAAGGCACGATCAAATGCGCCAGTGGTAGAGTCTGGTCCACGCGGAACCACCACCAATGCAACCCTTCTCACCCCGAATGAATTCACGTTTCTTTCAAATCTCATTTCCAAAAGAGCACCTTGTAACCTCCATGTCTTCGGTCTTCAATTGCAGTACCTCAACCTATCTTCTATAAATGCAGGAGGCATTACTCTTTTTCTAGAGGATGACCCTTACAAGTTAAGACAATACAAAGCGGATTCTAACAGGACTCGAATTTATAAGGTTGAGTACCAGGTGTCAGCTAAGAATGCATACAAGATGCTTAAGCATGCCAAGGAAAATCCTATTTGTGCACCTCGTACAAGTCTGCTCCAGCAATCGACTTGCAAATTGGCATTGAGAAATTTACCACAAGAAGTATATCAGCTTAAACGGGATGTTGTGGTGGTGGACGGACCAAGTGGAGAAGCGCCAGGAAGAATGACAACCATCTACACTGCTAGCATGTTAGCAAGAGCCGGTGAGACGTCAGATGTTGTGGTACACATTCATAGCACGATTGAAAAATGGTTCTCTTGGGAATTCCTCTGCGAAGAAAACCTGGTTTCTGCTAAAACAAAATTCTGGAACTTTAGGATCTCTGATCAATCAGTTTCTACTAAGTTTTGCTCTTCTGAAAAGGTTCAGATAGAGTAACAACCTTCTTTTTCTGCAGCAACAGAACAATCAGCGGCGGCATTACTACAGGCCGGTTAGTCATAAAATTTGTGAATAAAGATATCATTACAGTTGGCATTATAAAAGACCAAAATCAGGGTGCCACATCCAGGATATATATTAGGTGGGGAGTCATATATAAAACAAAATTACCCCACACACAGTTAAACAATACAATTCAGGCTCAAGCAGGAATGATTTATGTAAGTTCCAGAATTGGAAAGTGTGAGTACCTGGAACTAAAGTGTGCGTCTGCCTTGCTGTATATTTTGTTCATATATGTAAATTTACAGAACATATGCGCGCGCACACACACACACATATATATATATATATATATATCACTTGGTTGGTACTAACAGTTTTCATCATAACCTTGCATGAGTTGAATCTCATGATGTACCAACGGAAACAAGCCCTTGGTAAGGTTTGCCAATTATATGTATAATCTGGGCACCACAACTCGGAAATCCATTGTCCCAATCCAGAATAACAATTCTGATTGCTTCAGAAATAACAGAGACTGTTAAAAACAATGAAATTCTGTGTAAAACTCATGTATTTCTAATTTAGGGATTGCAACTACTAAGGAATTTTTATAGAATCCTATCTTAATTACTCATAATATTCCTAATTTAGGAATCTATTTTCTGACATTCCCCCTCAAGCTGGAGAGTGGATGTCTTCCATCTTCAGCTTGCCTGCTAAATTCTGAAAAAGCTTACCAGGTAGTCCCTTGGTAAGTATATCTGCAACTTGATCTCCAGTGTATACATAGGGAGTACAAATTAGCCCACTGTCGAGTTTCTGCTTTATAAAATGTCTATCCACTTCAACATGTTTTGTTTTGTCATGTTGAACTGGATTATGAGCAATATTAATTGATAATTCATTGTCACAATACAACTTCATTGGACCTTCCACTTAATCTTTAAATCTTCTAAAATAATCTTTAGCCACAACAATTTGCAGATTCCAAGTGCCATTGCTCTAAACTTAGCCACTGCACTGGATCTAGCCACAACATTATGCTTTTTGCTTCTCCCTGTCACTAAATTTCCTCCCAAAAAAGTACATTACCCTGAGGTTTATCTTCTATGAACCACTGATCATGTATAGTAAGCA